AGCTCCTCCGCGTCATGGACTTCCTCGGCCTCACCAACGAGAACGAGCCCCTCACCAAGGAAAAGTACATGGAGCTTGTCGACGAGAGCCGCAAGACCCTTGAGGCTCAATTCGGCGACCCGGACAAGGACGTCCGCGCCCTCATGGAGACGGACAACGACACGCTCATGACCTACCGCGGCTTCATCCGCTTCCTCGAGACGGATCTTCGCAACAGTCCCGTCGCGGCCCACGCCACCTCGGGTCACAAGTACCGCAAGGTTGTCAAGGAGGTCGCCATGAAGATGATGATGCGCGCCGAGTCCTTCACCAAGATCATCCTCGCCACCTGCCCCGACCACGTCCGCCTCTCCATCCACCCCTCCAGCGGCGCCGTCAAGCTCTCCATGCCGCTGCTGGTCGAGAAGCACAACCCCGACGGCTTCCCCCGTACCCCCTGGCACAGCTCCATCGCCGTCTCCCTAGACGGCGGGTACCGTTCTCTGCACGCCAAGGACGTCCGCGACACGCACGACTTGGTCATGAGAGACGGCCGTCCTTGGTGCTTCCGTGAGAAGTCTGAGCTCTTTGAGCTCGGCGAGGATGTCGAGATTGAGCACCTTTACCCCACTGGGATCGAGGTGCGCCCTCGCGAGGAGAAGAATGGTGAGGTCAAGCTCAACGAGGCAGCCCGCGAGAAGCTGGTGAAGCTTGCTCAGCTTCAGCCTGTAACCGTTGTCGGCTTTGAGAATGCGCCTGAGTTTGTCCTCGCGGGCCAGGAGTAGACATAGTACCCGGTCTCAGTCTAGCATTTAGAGGAGGATCGGCGGTTTGCATTGCTAGGGCATCATCAACGGCATCATCGTGGAAAAGAGGTGGCAGGAGAATATGATTGTACGCAGGAAAGGGTAGCTTGATAGGCGCCGATTGCTGCCAGGTCACACGGAGTCGGGCGTTTTGCAGTTGCTTTTCTCCCTCCTTTACAACGCCGCAAAGGCAATCAAATTATAATACATCAACATTTTTCAAACTTGTGTTGCGGAGAGGAACCTACTATGCGCGATTCCATCAATTGTTTGGTCAAGATTATGGTGGGTTGCGGTGGCTCAGTTCTCGGGGTAGTCTCCTCAAGAGTCGGCGGGGTGGATTTCTCGGGGTCCGCACATTTGATCTACTCGATTCATACGATGAGAGCAAATGTCAAGAGCCCGGATTATTCTGCACTGAGCAGTCAATCTTCTATTTGTTAAGTTGGTATTCTACGCCTGGTCCTTAATCTCCCGTTTTATCTTTGTAATTGTTCCCGGTCCGCCGTACGTCAAGCCAGTGTACACCATGGCCACGCTGGCGCCCGCATTGAGGATCTTGAGCGCCTGCTCTCCATTTGTAATGCCGCCTGTCGCGAAGATGACCTTTCTCGGTGTATCCTTGCCCTCGATCAAATCGTGAAGCTTGCCGGAGAGGGAGCCGTCAACATCAGGAATAGCAGCCGCCTCCTCGGCCGAGCCGGTCTGGAGGGTCTGGGCATCGAGTTTCTTGCGATATCTTCCGACCAGATCCAGGGTTCTGCTGTACATGGCGGGTCCCGAGTAACCACCCGTTTCCTGCAGCGCCTTCTGCTCCTTGACAGTAAGCTTGACGCCTTGGGGAACGATGCCTGTGCGACGGTTGGTGGTGTTGCCCACGATGACACCGTCGACACCGCTGCTGCAGACAGCCTGGACGATACCCTCAATTTGGGCATCCTCCTCCTCATCAGGGGAGACCTTGACCATGACCTTGGGGGCGACCTTGCGGTCGACCTTGCGAGCCTCCTGAACCACGGCACTCAACAGCCTCGTCAGAGGCTCGGTGGCCTGCAAGTCGCGGAGACCAGGGGTGTTTGGGCTGCTCACGTTGACCACCAGGATATCGGCATACCTAGCAAGACGTTGCACGCAGTAAACGTAGTCCTGAGCAACGGCATTGACATCCTTTTGGTCCGTCTCCTTGTTCTTGGCAATCTGCACAGCCAGCAATCTGCCGGGAAGCAAACTGCCAGCAGGGACACCAGCCTCGCCGTCCAGAACCTCCTGCTCCGTCGCGCCAACCTTGCGAGCGAACTTGCGCACGCGCTCCCTCAGTGTGATGGCCATGCTGTCGGCACCCCGCGAGTTGAGACCGTATCGATTGATCATGCCGTCGAGACTGGGAACGCGGAAGACACGCGGGCGAGGGTTGCCGTCCTGCGGACGGGGCGTGCAGCCACCAACCTCAACGATGCCGGCACCGAGGGCGAAGAGGGCGTCAGGAATGTCGGCGTGCTTGTCGAGGCCGGCGCTGATACCGATGGGGTTGGACAGTTTCATTCCGTAGACTTCCGTCGCCAGAGCAGGGTGTTCGGCGAGGGTTCTATCGCGTTCGCGGATGTGTAGGCCGAGATCGTAGAGAGTTTTCATCATGCCAGTGCCGGCGTGGTGAGCGTCCTCGGCGTCGCTCCATGCAAAGCGCATCAACATGGGTGACAATGCGTGGATGGAGGCCCTCGTATCGGTTACATAGAGATAGGAGACGTAGAGGGAACCGACGAGGGCAATGCTGTACAGGCCAGTCTTCAGACCCGAACCGGCCTGGGATTCCGTCGAGGAGCCGGTGCCATTAGAAGCATGACGTCGGGGGATGTTGCTAGGGAGTCTGGGGCGGACGGTGGTAGGATTTCTGGCGGATCGGAGGGCGGACTGCACGCGGCAGGATCGCAGGCAGATGGACGCCATTGCAGAGAAGAGTTGCCGGTCCTGGCCAGCACTCAATGGCTCAGCGTTGGGTAGGTTTTGAGGGTTGTGATCTGGACGAGGTCAAGGGTCCGAAGGCGGAATGGGCGCGAAGTTTGGGGTGCACATTTGGCGTCGCTCTGGCACGGAGGGTACAGTGTCAGTACAGTGTCGGCTAACACGGTACAAAGTCTAAGGTATTTTTTTCTAAGAATAAAATCGTATCAGATCATGACGTTCTCCATGTCTGTATGGTCCGTCTCCGTCTAGCCCAACGCCGTCCCGATGCACTACAAAAGAAAATGATGCTACCAAAGAATGTCTAGGATATCTATGCTTTCCGCTCCTCTCTTCTACGTCGTCAAAGTTCAAGCCTCCATCTTTACCGAACTCTCGTGAGCAGCGATGGCCGGCACCGCATGCGATCTCTCTTGTACTTCCTCTGCCTCCTCGACGACCTCAGCCTGTCTGTTCAAGAAACTCAGATAGGTCTGCCATCCGACAGCAATCACGCCCGAGAAGACGCTGCGGTATTCCATCGGGATGAAAGAGAAGCTGAAGGCCGTCACGGCAGGCCACAGCTTGCACGAGTTAACAATACTCACGGGCACACATTGTCGGATGCGGTCGATGATTTGGTCGAAGTTGTCGCCAGCAAGGAACGCCTGCATGCCGAAGAAGTACGAGTTGAATATGGGTGTGAAGCACACCTGGTTCACCACGACCTTTGTGGCCAGCGAGAGGAGCCTCGAGGCATAGTTGAAGTTCTGGGAGAGGAAGATGAACCTGCCAAACACAATACTGCGTCAGTCGCTGTTCGAATAGACGGAAACCACACGGGAGCTGCGAGCACACGCACGAGCACGAGCACGAGAACGAGAATGACCGAACCTACCATTTATAACTGGGAATAGAAGAAATGGCGCCAATGATCAGGGAGCGCATCGTCCGTTCTGGGTTGTAGTCGTTGCCGCTCATGTTCTGGGCCGAGAGGTCGGCGCAAAAATAGATGACCAAGGAGCTGATGAACTGCGTCGTCAGAGGCCTCTTGCGCTGGGCTCGGGCATAACCCTCCCCGGCGCGGGTCAAGGGCCCGAGACGCTGCCATAACGGGATTGTGGTGATGGTGTTTGGCACGGGAATAGGATCCTCTGCCCTCTTCGGCTTGGGTACTTCGGAACTGGAGTTGGCGCGGCGCTGTTGCTGCTGTGCCAAGCGATTTCGCAATCCTTGGGCTCCGAGTGTTTGACGGCGCAAGAACACTCGGAACAGTGTTGTGGTCGTTGCCATGCTCGGTTCGGTTCGGTTGTGAAGTATGGTAGGTGTTATTGAGGGATCATAGTCGAAGTTGTCGAGGGAGAGATTTGCAAGACGTCTCTCCGTCCAAGGTAATCTACTCTTGGTACTTTACCTACTGCGCAAGGAAGGGTATGCCGAGAAGTATGGCCGAGATGATGCCCCAAAGGTGTAGGGCGGCATGGACACACGCACACACTGTCACACACCCTCCCAGCACACTCATTTGAGAGTCACCCACATCCACCCACCCTGGACTTCCCGCCTGTGCCCGCCTGGACCCCTGAAGAGCAAACCGGGAAAGTGCGGCAGTGGCATTGCCGACGCCGATGGCGGCCCTTCCGTTGGGGTCCGGGCCCTGCAAGAGTGGGCCCTTTTGATGTTTCTCTTCTTGTTTCTGTTTGGTCCGTTGTTGCGTGCTTGTACCTACTCTGTGCTTGTACCGGTACCTTACGTAAGGTCGACTTAGGCACGTGCAGCTGCCAGGGGTGACAGGCCCTAGCTTAACGCCTATGCATCGCCACCCGTCGCCATCCGCATGACCCTTACCACCAGCTGGCGTCCTCCCTCAGCTGCCCCTCCCCCAGATGTCACTCGGGAGCTGGCGGGGCACCTGTGTCCACCTGCGCACCGCACTTGACTTACACACCTCTAATCACCAAGCCGTATGCTCCCGTCTCGTGACAGTTTGCCTTCTTCTACTTGAGCTTCTCAAAAAACACCAGGATTGCTATCAAATCATCTCTTCGTTTGTCACTAAGTCACTCAACAAGGCGTCAGTCGAACTCATCATGGTAGCACCCTAGACTGTGCCCAAGTTGTACAAGGCTGTAGGGCTGTAATACATCTCTCCCGTCGCCTCTACAGCACTTACCTTTGGTTGCCTTGCCTGGTCTGATTACTCCATACAGAATAACAAGGCTTCGGTACCGAGATCGAAGGGACGAAGAAGGCACCACAGACATCACCATCAATATGTGGCTTCTCGATACAACCACCTACGAACCGCGCATGTTCATCATCGGCAGTACTGTGCCCCCCTACGCCATCCTCTCCCATACTTGGGGATCCGATGAGGTGACCTTCCAAGACATCCAAAACCTGCCCCTGGCATCCAAGAAAGCCGGCTTCATCAAAATTCAGGGATGCTGCACTCAAGCACTGCGTCACAACATTGGATGGGCCTGGATCGACTCCTGCTGCATAGACAAAACCTCCTCCGCAGAGCTGTCCGAAGCCATCAACTCCATGTACACCTACTACCTCCTCGCCCGTGTCTGCTTTGTCTACCTCGCCGACGTACCGCCCCTATCCTCGTCCCCTCCCATGGACCGGCTCTCATCACTCGCTTCTTCCAAGTGGTTCACCCGCGGTTGGACACTCCAGGAGCTCATCGCGCCCCGGCGGACAATCTTCTACACCTCGGACTGGTCCCGTCTCGGAACCAAAGGTGCCCATACCGATGAACGCCCCTTCATCCAGGCCCTCTCCTCCATCACAGGAATCTTTGAATCTGTCCTCGCCAAAACTCGCCACCCGCGCGACTATTCCGTCGCAGAACGCATGTCCTGGGCAGCAAATCGCCAGACTACCCGCGCAGAAGACCTAGCCTACTGCCTCATGGGCCTCTTCGGCGTCAATATCCCCGTGTTGTACGGCGAAGGGCTCAAGCACGCGTTCCAACGTCTCCAACACGAGATCATACGGGCATCTCCCGACGAAACTATCTTCGCGTGGAGGGCGGATCCGCAGCAGCAGCTTGTGGACCCGTACACGGGCGAACGCCGATCCAGAACTATGACGTCGGGCTTGCTCGCCGACTCGCCCGCCGATTTTGCCCACTCACACGACGTCCACCAGCGCGCGTTGCTCCCGCCGTCTCCGTTTCGGGAGTTCAGCATGACCAACATGGGCCTCTGCATCACTGCCAACCTTGTGCGTTTGACGCCTGCTACAGGCGGCGGGCCCCGTGGCAGTCCGGCTCCACAGACCGTGTTTGTGGTGCCTATCGGTGCGAGCGGCCGGTCGAACGAAACCTCGCCGCGTACCCGGGTTGGATTGTATTTGGAGCCGGTGCTCGTAGCGGCGAGTCGCGCAGGACACAAGACTTCGTACTTTCGCCGTATCATGTGCGATAAGTTTTGTTTTGCGTCGACTGGCGAGTTTCCGCAGGGCGAGCTTGCCAATATTTACATTCTCGAAGACGATCAGTTCGCCGAGATGCAATTCGCGGATAGGCCTCCTACTCCAAGACCAGGCTCAGCGTCAGGATCTGGCTCGGATGGGGGAGGAGGAAATTGGTCGCCGTCGATTGGGGCTAGGTTATCGCTCTCGCCCAGTCCGTCTCCCAGGCCTTTTCCAGAGAGTATTCTCTAATAAACGTATAGACGATGATAGTCATAATGGAAGGAAAGAGAAAGTCAGGAAAGAGAAACTTAGGAAAGAGAAACTTAGGAAAGAGAAACTTAGGATAGAGAAACTTAGGAAAGAGAAACTTAGGATAGAGAAGTATAGCTTGAAGGAGGTACTTGTTCAAATGAGGTTGGGAAATAGTGGACAAAAACAATGCGTAGCTTTTGTAGAGATACCCCGGCTCTCTATACATAAGAGGGACCAGATACATGACGGAAAAGGAATTGCAAAAGGACACCAAGTCAAATTAGAGTGTTCAGAGCAAATACGTCCGTTTCAAGGTTTCTCATTCACCTGATACACCTACAGTGTACCACTACTCCAGAACACGAGTTACTCGGGTATCTCATCCAGGAAAACCCTCCTGCTGTTATGCCTTTACTACATACATGATTTCCTCCCCTTTAGCCAAAATGGCAGCGCATCGCCGCGAATGCTCGCTCTTTTCCGATTTTTCCCTATCCTCCTCTGAATTCCCCTCCTTTCGTGCTGTTTTCCCCGTCCCCGAATCTAGGTTGTTTTCCCGTCTCCTCGGAGAAAATCGCAGAGCATTCATCAAAGGAGTGCGCAGACGTGCTATCACTGCCGGTCTAAGGGGTTGGTTGTTGGGCGCGCAACTGTGACCCTTCCACAGGGTCACATTGAAAAAACAAAAAAATCTCAAATCATCTCGCTTCCCCCTCCTACTCCTCCTCCCACATTTTCCTTCGGAAAAGGATTGTGGGGGAAAGTGGAAAGGTGGAAGGAGATGTGGTATCAAACGTTGTATTCCCGAGAACATGAAACGAAGAAACAAGTGCCACCGCACAAAAACGCGTACGTAGAGAACGCGTCGTCATCGTCGTCGGCGGAAAGAAGAAAGGTGCGGGTCGTTAAGGTCGTATCGTACATCAGATGAATCGAAGAGGAGCCTACGACTCTCGAGGCAAGTTCCGCGTCGGTCGGTATTGGGTGTCGTTATAGGCGGCGAGGAGAAGAGTCGCATAGATTTTTGAGAGCGAGGCCGAAGATGTAGAAAGGAGTCGATGAAGCCAGCCAAGTTTGAGAGCATATCCGAATTTTTGTCGTTTTCCAAGTGTTTTTGTGGTTTTTGTAGTCAGTGGCAAGGAAATAGTAGGTAATGAGTGAATATGGTCGGTGGATAGATAGAGTTGTAAAGAAATTGATAGCGAGCGTCGGGTGTCGATATATATGTCGACGTAGAAAGATAATAAGGAAATGTTGAGTGATTGTACGTCTCAAAGGCTTGGCTGGCGATTCATCTTCCCCTGTTCATTAGCAAAACATCTTCAGTAATCCCCCGAAATATAATCTCATCAAAATACTGCGTCAGTGCTCCTCCTGTGGTCAACGCTTGAGCGGGGCGAAACCTCGAGCATCTTGGTGCTCCCGGCGCTCACATGCCTGGCGTTGCCCCTGCTGAGGCTCACGCTCGTGGCGCGTTGAAGCTGGGGCGTCTCGCCTTCTTCGGAGCCCTCGGGCGACGACATGCCGTCTTCTCCATATGACTTCAGCATGCCTTCGCGGCTCTTGACCCTCTGATGTTGCACGACGGTGGCGCGCTGCCTGTCGACCGACCCCCACTTCATATCCGCATCTTCCATCACCTCGTCCTCGTCACTGCTGGGGAACGCGTCGCCGGTCGACTTGCGCGGGGTACGTTCTTCGTCGGCAAGCATTTCGCGGGACGGCGTGGCGAGGTTGGAGAGGTACTCATCGTCGGCGAGTTCTTCCTCCGTATCGTTGGGCGATGCAGAGTGGCTAACGTTCTGAGGCGGGAGGCGTTGCATGCTGCCGCGCATGCCCGACGAGCGGCGGGCGCCAACGCGGCCGGAGAGCCATGATCCTTCAGAGTCGATAGACGCAAGGGAAACAGGCTCGGGGGATGGCTGGATGCTGTGTCGCAGCGACGTGGGCGTCTGCCTCATCTTCTCCAGCTTCTCCATCTTCTCATCGACGCGTCGCAGGTCTGATGTCGGTGTGTCGTGTCTCACGGCAGGCGTATCCTGCTGCGAAATCTCTCCCGACTTGGACTCTGAGACAACGGGCAGAGGCATTTCCACTTCCGGGGACCCTACACGCGAGTCGGGTGGGCTGAGGGGCAGTTCGGGCAAATCCTCCCTGAAGCGCGACCTGGTCCGCTTAGGAACGCCGTTGCTGACCTTGCGAGGAATGTAGTTGACAGGTGGGGGGATCGCTGGCATCGGCACTTGTACCGGCGCCGCGGCCGCCTCTTCCTGTTGCTGGGGCACATGCGTTGCCGACTGCGAGTAGATCTGCGCGGCGGCGGCTGATGCCTGCATTGTCTCGCGCGATGTATTCGAGAAGGAAGACGGTCCCGAATTTCTCCTGTTTCTCTTGCCCAGGCGGAAAAGCGCCGAGAAAGAGATGCGAGCGCGAGTATCCTTGCGGGAGATCTCGCCCTCATCCTGTCTTGACGAGTATTGTGAGATTGCGTGCTGGTCAGACTCTGTGGCATTGGGCGATCTTGATCTTGAAATCCTCCGCAGGAAGCTCCTCTTCAATCTCATGCTGGCCTTGGGCGTAAGTTTCGTGCTCGTCTTGCGCTCTGGGGCGGGCTGCGCAGGCAGCGTCGGCGAGGGCGGTGCCTCTGGCGGGATGCTGGTCGTCCGGTGAAAGTGTTGGATGGCCGCTGGTTCCGGCTCGATGTCCATCGTCTCGGGTTGCGGTTCCTGCTCCTGTTCTTGCTCCTGCGTCTGCTCCTGCTCCGGCTCAGAGTCCTTGGTCGTTGAAATCTTTCTCGATTGCCGTGATGAACTCCATGACCGTCTCCTGGAAGAGGTAACCACTGCAGACGCTGCGTCGATCCCCAATCCGAGTTCGCGACCGAGAACACCACGTTCCAAGTTGACCGGCGGCGGTGACCCGCTGTGACGGGCTTCTGCCACGGCCTCGCGCTGCTTCTCTGATCTCCGTGCCAGTCTCCTTTCTATCCGTTCCTGGTCTCTTTGGCGTTTCCTCTCTCGCCTCCTGTTATCCCTCTCCATCAGTTCTCTCAGGTCGGCGGCGTCCAAATCATCCGCAAAGCTATCGACCCTCTTGTGTGCCCTCACAACTGACTCGGGCACCCTCTCTGAAACTTTCCTCTTTTGCTGCTGTGTGCGCGATGGCGCCGAACCATGTCCGGGACCCCATCGTGGGTATACTGCGTATCGTAATGTTGGTCGGGGCGATAGTGCCTCGAGGGCAGAGACTCGGAACGAGTGTAGCTCCGTGTCGGATGACATGCTGGAGTGAATCGATATCGGTAATGAAACGTCCGACTGCGGGTTTTCGAAGCTCCTACGGAAGCCGAGGCCGGTCTTGAGTCTCTTGCTCTGTTTCCTAATGGGCCGCCCTGACGTCCAAGGATCGGCCGCCGGTCGTACCGGGGCGAAGTTTGCCATGGCCTTGATTTCCGCCTCACGATCCGTCTCTTCTCTCCTCCTCTTGCTGGTCTTGCGTCGAGAGGACCTCGACGGTTGGCCGTGGCGTGCATTATGTAGGGTTGGCGCCCGCTGCCACGCGGGATCCCCTTTTTCTTCTCCGTCATTTCGGTCGGCTGGGAAGAGCCCTGTCGACCGGCCAGGTCCTAGTGGAACCGAGCCTTTTTGCCCCGCGACACGGATGGAGTCATTGCGACCGGGGGAGAAGCTGTAGGTGCGTTCTCTTCTGGGCGCCGGTTGCTGCTTCTCGAGGCGCTGCTTCTTCGGCATGGCCGCCCTCGGCGCAGTGGCTTCGACCGCCGTGAGACGTCGTGCTTGTGAGGATGATGTTGGTGGTGCCTCGACATCTGAGAGGTTTGCGCCGCTTCGCGAGCGTTTGCGACCGCTCCTCCGGCGGAAGGGCCAAAGGGCCATTTTCCCATCAGCCAACGCGAGAAAAGCGTCGTGGTCAGTGGGCAGAGTACGTGTGTGATGATGAGCTATCGAAGAATACTGGGGTGTTTGTCAAAGGACCAATGTCTGAATGGTTGCATGATCGTTGGCGTATTATTCAATATCGATGAATAGTAGCATATGTGTGTCCGTAAAGTATCCGTACTCCGTAGTGTGTGATCAGTGAGGGTGAACGGGCGGTCTCGTTTAGATCTCAATGCTTCCTGCTGACCAGAATCGCCACCAGTTTCGCAATGGACGAGTAAAACGAGAGGTGTGCTGGGGTTGTCCCGAGCCAGAGGAAATGCGGAAGCTTGTCTGCTTAAAGAAGGATCCGGGATTGTGCAGCAAATATGGAATTGGGTCTTTAGAGGAGAGGGTATTGGCCGGGCTTGTTTAAAGCGAGTGGAGGGGAGGAGAGACAAGAGACTAAGAGTGTGGTGTCCGTAGGTACGGGAGTGACGGAGCAATATGGATAGCAAAAGCAAGGTCGGTATCCGTACAGTACCTCTCCTTTTTTAGTTCGAGGATTAAAAAGAGGGACAAATAGTCATATGCAACCAATGTATTCGTAAAGTGGCAATAGCTGGGCTAGATATGATGGAATGACGAATGGGGGAACCCTCACAGATCCAGCAGGCTTCTCGCGAAAGAGACCAGACACGAGACGGGGCACGCCTGAGCAAGACTCACCTTCTCTCTTCCTTGGACTCTGCCCTGGGTCGACCTGACCTGGTGGTTGCTGCTGCTGTTGCTGCTGACCCTGCCTCTGCTTCTACCTCTTCTTCTTCTGCTGCTGCTGCTGCTGCTGCTGCTGCTGCTGATGGGAACCCTGGCAAGGACTGGGGGAGAACTTGTTGCTTGGCTGGGCTGGCTGGCTGGCTGGCTGGCGCCGTTGCTAGTATGTAGCTTTCTGCCGGCGCCGTTGCTGGAGCGGTACCTTGCGGTACCTTTCCGAACTAGGCCATCGAGTGGCAGGGCAAGGGAGCATAAGCCGGGACCTTTGGGGGACCACCAGATCAGACCAGGAGGGATGGGACGGCCAGGGCTGGTTGGTTTGGGCTGGAAGAAAAAGTCAAGGGTCGGTCAAGGACTCAAGGGTGAAGGGGTGGGAAGAGGGAGGGGGTGGAAGGGGTGTGGGTTGACCAGGACTCTCTGGACAAAGTGTGGTGTGTGCCCAAGGGTTGGAGGGTGCGTTGCGTTTTGTGTTTCTTCCTGCTTCCCCTAGCTTTTGAATGGACTAGCAACTGGTCAATTGGTTGATGAATACGCAGTACGGGTCCCAGGGACAACGTGCCATGTGTCTCTACCGTTCTTTGAGGTCGAGTTGAGTTCGAGTTGTCGAGACTGATGGGACTGGATCTGTACAGAGATGGATCTCGCAGTCCTCATAACCAATGACAGTCTGGTGCGAAGATACAGACTGGAGGAGAGGAACCACAGGAGAACGTTGACGTGTGCTTCGCGTGGTTTTCCGGGAACCAGTGCTGTGCCTGTGTGTCTGTGTGAACGAGGGATAGATGGCCACCAGACGCCAGCGAAGTCTCCTGCCGGCAGGGGGAATGTCAATGTCGTCGATGGGATCAGGGACTGCCAGGACTGGGCCTGATCGTCGCGAGTTTTTTCTGCTTCGGTATCAACGGAGTGGACCCAACCAGCTTTCTAGCACACCACCTGCTGCTCGGCTCCAAGTGCTGCCCTGGTTTGCTGCTTGCCCTGGTCTTGTCCCGGTCTGGCTGGCCTGAGAAGGTCAAGAAGGACTGAGAGGTGTGTGAGAGAGCGTGTACTCGTAGAGAGGTCCAGCCAGGGCAGGACGCAAGATTCAAGAAAGGAGCCCTCAACGAATCCAGACAGTGATGCGATGCGATGCGATGCGATGCAGTGCGAGTCTGCCGTGGCGCTGGTTCCTGGCCTGACTGACTGCGAGCGGGCCACGGGTCCGGCTTTGCATGTTTCTGACTACGAAGTACTGGGATCTCTATGGACGACTCGCAGGTCTGACATCCAGCCCCTGGAGTTCCAATGTCTCACCGTCTGGAGGCCTTTCTGGTCTTCCCCCGGGCTTGTCTCATATGCCGTTGTCTTATTCTGTGGTTTTCGGTGGCTTGACAGCCAGAAGATGACTGGAATCGTGCTGGTCCGTAGTGTTGAGTGGCTGGCCATCTTTAGTTATCGATAGATCATAGCCGTAACGGTTCCAGCATGCCTCTCGATGCAGTAGTACAGTATCTATATGTGTTAAAGTTTCTGCTCGTTCTACCTCCAACGGTGGGCTCATGGGCCCGTCCCCCTGGCTGCCGCCGTGCCCTGCGCGATGTACCGCGAGAAGCCCGTATGTGCAAGTTTAAAAAGAGAAGGAAAAAGGTAAAAAGAAGGGATGTGGGAGGGGTTCAGTCAAGATACCCGCTGTACCTCTTCGCTATCGCTTCGTATCCGCGCCGCAGACCCGTTCGAGTCCCGTATTCCGCGGTTGCTCAGATCTTGCAGCGACATGTACCAATGCTCTGTACGAATACCTAGGTTTCGTTTACTTCTGCAATAAGTCAGACAGCAGATGTGTTGCTGGCGGCTGCAAGTCGGCTCCATCGGAATGCTGCTGACTAGAGCTCCGGGAGGCGAGTGATAGATGGCAGCGTCTTCCACAAGTACGCAGGGTTCAGGTCTGAGAAGCCTGTTTGCACTGCAGTGGACGCAGTAAGGCTGTGTTAATTTCTCAGGACTGTTACTCGGTTGAACTGTTTGACTTTGCGTGTGTCCATCCACCCACTTTGTGCCTACCCATCGCTCTTCCCAAGCCGTCAGGACGTTATGAAAAAGACGAGGGCTGAAAGGGGATTCGCCCAGGCCCTGAGTCATCCCTCGAAAGGGATAGATAGATCCGGAAGTTGGAATTCGAGACGGACTGGATCTATCTCAGCCTCAATTAAGAATCGCCGTCAATGGACATGCCCTTGTGGTGTTCCCATGGTGCTGTTCCTTGCTGTGCCACATATTGGGAGTCTAAAATAACCAAGAATATTCAAATCCGCCGGCTCAATGACAAGGGCAGCCCACCCGTGTACTAAGAGAGGATTACATAAATCTGGAGAAGCCCTTGTTTCCGGACCCTCATCCCTCAGTGGGATTCCGAGAGGGAAACCGAAGGGGGGCAAACAGAGTTCATCGTCCCCTCTGGCCACAACTCTTTGCCGCATCGGCCACAGCACAGTAGCGCCCGGCAACCTGTTAAACCGTTGCGGTGCTCTTCATCAGATGATGTGGCTATTGGTGCCGTTTGTGCATCCATACTTGCAAAGTTACACGAACACTGTTGCTATGCGCCATCGCGCCCACCTTTCGCTGCCGGAGGGCGTTGTTTTTTTTTTCTTTCAGGATTCGCGCCATCATCCTTCCCCAGATATTGCTCAGCCCGCTGCGTTGACTCTGAGAAATGTCCTTTGGCGTTAGCCTCTTTCTAGCATATCCTATTGTATGACCGTCATCTTGCCCTTTGCTTCTGTCCACTGAGCTATCACTTCAGCTCACAGACAGCTGCACAGGGCGAGGCGTGCGCGGGGCGTTGGCCTGAAGGTTGCTTCAGCCACTAGGGCGAGTTGACGGTGACACTGACATATGTTTGACGCCAATGACTACCGGCCGTCCCGCCGTCATTTTGCGGGCGGATGATCGACTGGGAAGGGCCTTAGAGCAATGAGAAAGCTAGACTCCTACTAGCAGCCCGGCCGACTGTCAATTCCTTCTCCTTGCGCACAAGCTTATTCTTTCACGTCTTCGAGGTCCTGGTAGACAAAGCGAACAAAGATGATGAGCCAAGACCAAAGTGGCCTTAGCCGTTGAGAACTTGAGGGGAACTTCTAGACACATCATCTGACCGCTCCAGCTCCCAGAATAGCGCCCGCCCCATCACCTCTGTCAGCCGCGTTGCTACGGGGGCGGCTGCGGTGTCTTTTGGCCACCCGCGAGAGCTTCGATCCCAGGCGAGAGACTGAGGAGACTGGACGTTGCGGCTTGCCGTTCGGTTCGACGGTTGCGCAACGTTCTGCCCTGCCGGCCGACTCTCATCCCACAGTATGCGTGGCCTGTAGGGATCGTACTTGTTGGAAAACTTGAACGTGCCTGTTTGCGAGGCAACAGGGGCCATTTGCCCTTGAAGCAGGGATCGTCCTTCTCCTCTAAAGTACCGTTACCTGCGGAGCGGGACGCCAATACTTCTGTGATGGAGTAGCCAAGGCCATCGGGTGCCGTATCGAGCACGACGCCGCTTGAGGGCAGTTACATGAAGTCTGGCCCTCTTTTGTACGAAAGAAAGACTTGGCTCGATGGGAACCTGCAGGTACCTCGATTGGAAAACCCTCAATTCCTGCTCGTATTCGTCCTCAGCAGCCCTGGAGAAGCTGGCCAAAAGACGCTGCAACCCGTATTTGCTGCGGCCTGCCCACTGCCTCGGGGCCCGGCACTCGCCGCCCACGACGTAGCCTGGAAGGAGTTGGAACCAACACTCGCAGCTTGTAGCGTCTCTTTCCAGCCCCCGTCTAACGAGATCGTGAGCCATATACATCTGCTTACTGGCTTTACGGTGTTGTGGACATTTGCTGCTGTCAATGCATCGCATGGAACCGTAGCCTGCCACGACTGCAAACATGTGAACTCCTGCACTCCGCTATACTGTAGCATGTCGTTCGCGCTGCCGATTTCTGCCCGAGCATGACTAGTGCAGTTGCTGTGGGAGAGTATTGATGCCCCGAAATATCAAAGAAAGTGCGCGTTCCTGTATAATGAGCACCTTGGCAGTCTCCGGGCGGCGGGCACCTATCCCTAACTTGCGATGCTGCGATATGCCCTGTATATCGAAAGTTTCGGTCATTATGTCATGGGAGCCGCTGCTGGCTCTTCATGTAGACATTCCATCCAGGATATGGCGTCGGCCCTGCTGAATCCAAGAGTCAGGACGTCGCAATGGCGCGCGGGCTGCAGATTGTGCGGCATAAGTCCAAGTGTCGCAACTTGCAACTGCTTCATCATCGGTACGTGTGGCTTCAAGGGCTTGACCTGCGTGCCTGCTTGAGGACTTGAGCCAGCGGCAGACCGGGGTGACGACTCCTAGCCGCCTTGGGGGCGATCCTTTTAAGATTGGCGTCCCATCTCAACGTCATTGCGCCAGGGTTCTGGTCTTATCGACCTGCCAGCCTGCCGTAGCGGCGTAGGGTAATTAGGTAGCTGCGGAGGAGTTCGTCATCCGTCAGCTTCCACCCGGGCTTGATTTCCAATTTCCATGTATCCGTCGGTGCTGTATCCGTATGCTTCTTGAGCTCGCTTCATCATCCATAGTTCTCAGGGGCGCATCATGCTGTGCAGATAGCCTGATACTTCGAAGCAGTGGTTGAGTACCCTTCAGGCAGTTGCGTGAAAGATGCCAAACATAGGTTAATAAGGCCTCATTTCTTCTTAGTGGTCTGGCGTGCTGCAGGTGTCGGCCGCATCGTTTCTTTCGCACCTGTCAGACTCGACACGTAAGGTAGTGCAAGCTTCCCCCTGGATAATGCAAGTGCTGCAGGCACAGCAATGTAAAGCCAGCAGTGTGGTCATTGATGGGTCTCGATAACCCGTCTTCCGGTTTTGACAGGAGTCATTGCTCGACTTCGGCTTCTGCCATGCTCTTATCAGCCGAGCAGGATAACATGTCGGTAATACTGGCTTGATGCTGAGCACCTTCATGCGCACATAGGATCAGCTAGCGTGCGCCGATGGTCCCTTATCCTCGCCCTTGGATGCCTCGATGGACTCGTGGAGGCGTAATATCCTTTCAATGTCACCAGTCGAGGCTTCGAGGGCGGGGTTGGTGTGTAGACTAGCTCTCCCTCGTCGACCTTGACGAATGAACCACCATTGTTCAACGAGTACGGTTGCTCGCTCATTTGATCATTAACTGGTTGCAGCTCATGCAGGTAGGCTTGGTCTTGAGCATTAGGCACTACTCACAGCTCTTAAATGCCTACATTAGAGAGGGGATTGGCAGCATCTTCCTATCTGGCAATGGAAAATTGAATGCTCACATAGCTGGCCAGTCAGGGAAGATTTGCACCAATAATGGTTGGTGAAAATAAATCCCTTTTCATCTGATGACATCCCCCCCTGGCGCCTGGCGGTGACGCTAGACTGGGACTTCCCGAAAAGTAAATCCAAACTGTTTCACGCTCGGAGCCTCTGTTAATGGGAGTCTGTTGTTTCCAGCCAATGACAGCCCACGGCGAGGGGCGTTTCAGAAACGATATCGATGGGTAGACGGCAACAGGGCTCATTGCGAAATGAGACGGCTCCCTTTTTGTCCATAGAGTATTACGGATAGAATCCATTTGGCGAGGCGGAAATGAAGGTCAGTGTCCGTAGTTTGTCTGGCCAAAGTTATCGACCCAGAACTACCTGGACGCCATGTGGGAGAACGGCGGAAACTGGCTGGGGTTCAGCGCAGATCTCGGCTGGCGCGAACTGTGAGGGTGTGTTCATCTGCTCATCTCTGCACCTTTTGGTTAGGGATTGGCAGCTTTCTGGCCAGGTTCGATTGGCCTCTCTGTCTCTGAGAACGCAGGCGAGGTCATCTGCTTCGAAGCGCAGGGGATGAAGACGGTTCTAGGCTCGCCTCTTGAACCGCTTGGTCCATATCCAGAATCCGATTTGGTACTCTCTCCGAATCTCTCATTTTGGTACGTAATGGCCCAGCAGTAGTGCTTTGTAGGCGCCGTGTAGGCCATGGCATGAGAGATTCACCACCGCAGTGGATTCCTGATAGTATTTCTTTCGAATATGACTGTATGACCCGGTGTCTTGATCGAGTTCGAGGCAGAGGATGATACTGGTGTGCGGCCAAGTCCCGAATTGATGGAGTTGCTTCGAAGTTGCTATTAGGCATAAGGTACCAGTGTTTCTCTCGAGTCAGTGCCGAGCAATGCGGCATGCGAAGCTTTGGGACAAGGTTTCCTGGAGCTCCGCGAAGTGAGAAGTGCTGAAATTGTTCTGTGACGTTGGCGAGTCGGCAGAGAAGTGACCAAACTCTGGAAGGTCGCGTTGGGTTTCTGGATGTCACTTAGGAAGGCATGAACCCCAAGCCGCGCTAACGGAAAGCACCTGCCACGCCGAATCTAAGGTGCCCTGTAGATACGGAGTACACAGGCAAAAGAAAACCGCCCTTTGCATCTGCCTGCAAGCACTAGATCTCTCGTACCTTTTAAGATGCCTACAGGTATGCACTGTACGGATATACAGCACCAATACGCATCGATGCGATAAGTAAAGGGGTACACATTGCACGGGGATGAAGTCGGTGGCAGATATGAGCGCCGCAGAGGAGCACAGGCTAGGTACACCGGCAATAAGTCAGACGACCGAAAGCACGTGGCTCTTAGTCATGTGACCTTTCATTACGTAAGGTGAGGTACTCTACTTACCTTAAGGTAGCCCCGAAGGTCTTTATCGATAAGAAACGGGTTGTCGGAGCAACAGGCCCGATAAGCTGTTTACGGCAATCTTTTGATGCCAACCTAACCGCGACAACACCACGCCCAATATCTACAGACACACCTACGGAATCGAATTGACCTTCGTCTTGTCACATCGCATCCAAGCTCGACCAGCCAGTATATCTCACCGCTCCAAGGAGCCCAAACCAATCACCAATATGTCGCACAATCCGCGGATGAGCATCATTCCCGCGACACAGACACAGTCGCGCAATACCCGCAAGAAAGAAGATGAAGCCGACGCGTTCATGCGCCTGCCGGACAAGGAGATTGTCGGCTGCATAACAGACATCGGAATCCCCTTCAACGTTGCCGACCTCCAGAAGCCGAACCCATTGCAGGTGCAGATGATTTTCGAATGGTTTGCCGAATTGCTCCTCAATGCGACCCGCGAGACCGTCGAGCCCGCCATGCGTGCTGCTGCTGAGGACATCTGCGGCGAATACTCCGACATCGTGCCCCCCGACACCCGCAACTTGATGGGCTTCTACGTTTCTCTGCGAGGTCTTCTAGCAGAGTGCGGCATCCAGGACTTCAGCTTCAACGACCTCTACAAGCCCACGCACGACCGTCTTGTCAAAATCTTTAGTTACCTGATCAACTTTGTGCGCTTCCGCGAATCTCAGACAAGCGTCATTGACGAGCACTTCAACAAGGCCGAAACGACGAAATCCCGCATAGAGAGCCTGTACTCGGAGAATCAGGACATGGAGTCGCGTCTTGTCGACATGAAGCGCAACCGCAAGGCAATGGAGGCACAGGTGCGCGAGAAGACGACCCGCAACGAGGAACTCAAGCAGCGGCTGCTGGAGCTGCGGCGTAATCAGGAGCGCGTGGCCGCTCGTCTTGAAGACGCAAAGGTCAAGAAGACTGAGCTCACGACAGCGCTGGAGGAGAGGACAGCACAAAAGCTTACCGCTAAACAAGAGAGCGCAAAGCTTCGGCCCTACGTCATGCAGAGTCCTTCGGCGCTGCAGGCGACCCTGACTGAGCTAAGCAACGCGCTTAACAGCGAAAAGTCGCACATCGAGGCCCTCGATCGCCGCTCGCGCGCACTTCAGACATCAGCCGATTCCTTCTCGGTGGTCTCTACGGACGTAGCATCATGCATCAAGGTGTTGGACGAAATTGGCACCGAGCTGGCCAAGGAGGAGGACGAGAACCTGAAGAATGTCAAGCAACGCGATGCACTATCGGAGCGCGGTAACAACGTGCGAGAAGTCGAGCGTACGGAGGCATTGCTGCAGCGGCAATTGCTCAAGTGGAACGAGCGTACCGAGAAGCTCCGCGAGCAAAGTTCTGCCAAGGCCCAGGACGCCAAGGAGAAGATGGAGGAGCTTCGTGCTGTTCACCGTAAGCTCACCGAGGAGAGGACGGACAAGGGCAAGGATATTGAGAGGCGCCGTGTTCGCATTGAGCAAACTGAGAAAAAGGTACACTTACCCTTGATCTTCTGATATGGGACTGGATGCTAACAAAAGAAAAATAGATGTTGGACCTTAAGGAGAACATTGAAAACGAGATTCACAGTGCTTACGATGAGTTCCTCAAGATGGACTCTCACATCAAGCTATACATTACCGAGATGGAGCAGGCTCTCTAGATTATCATTGTTTTGGGTCGGTTATCTGTCACTTTGTCACGATGAAATGAGTTATAAGGATACCATGGGTTTGGCGTTTGAGGCAGGTTTGGATTCTGTAGATGTTGGAGAGGGGCAAAGACCTGGGTGTTACATGGTCGTGCCCAACGTATCGATACAATGAAGCTTTCGATCTCTTTCGACCCATATCGTTGCCTCGGTCGAGGTTCTGTGCAAGCCAAGTACTAAAGATCCCAGCGGCCAGTCTGGAAACGAAACCAGCGGCCCAATACTCGTCTCACCTCGACAGTTCTCCCCATCCAGACGCCCTCGCTCCTCCTTGAACTCCCGCTCAAAACCGGCGCATCATCCCGCAGCAGTGACGTAAAGTCTTCATGCCCTCCTGCGCCTCTAGGCTCAACGATGACGGGTTTGAATTTGGTGTCGGCCCGGCGAGCTGCCTCGATGAGCACCGCGGCCGAGCTACTGAGGCCTTGCGCGCTCCACTCGCTGCTATCGCGGTGGAGATCGAGAAACCCGTATACCAGGAGCAAAGGCGGGCGACTCTTCGAATTTGACGATGGGTGGTTTGGTGGAGGTGGTATCAGGGAGTCTGAAGTGCCAAAGGCGGACAAGAAGGCACGTAGATGTGTTACGCTGGGGATGAAGAGGACGCGGATGTGACGGGCAATTGCGGTCTGGAGGAGTGTTGCCGAGAGGAGAGGTAGTGGGAGCAGGTCTTCGGACTGCTCATGATTATGTTGGGAGATATTTTTGCGACTGTCAGAGACGAGAGCTGAGATGAAGTCCTGTCGTTGATGGCAAATGAGGAGTGTCGTTGGATAGGGCTGGAATGTGACGATGTAATGAAGCAGCTCTGCTGGTGAGGCAGGCGAGAGCACTGTCGGGTTCATTGGTAAAGATTCTGAGAACAATCTGTTTCTTCTTGCTAAGCGATACTCTTAGAACCTCGAAAGTATTGTTGTTTTGGTTTGGGGGGTTTCTCTCATTAGATCAGTCCTTGACGAGGTAGGAGTGGGATGAAGGAAGAGTACGATTAAAGCCAATGAGTGCGCCGGGTCGAGGGACCCACTTTAGCCACCTTTCTGTGAGAGACTCGATCTATGACTACTGCTCCAAGTGGTCGTATTAGTGATAGCACCATATCACCGTTTCTTTCATCAAATGATTCGGGCTTTCATTCCCTCTTATTGACACTCTAAGATGCTGACGTCTCGTAATGCTCGCTTCCGTTGAATGCTCTTGGTCATCTCATCACATGGGCTACAGACGGGCCCATCCCATGAACCTAGGCCATGCTTCGTCTTCATCTCAAGGATCATAGTAAACAATTTGAGATTGTCTTTCATGAGCTGTCTACAATCTGAGAGTCAAACCTGGCAGTGAACAGCATCATGTTTATCTCTTGGAGTCACATTTCTGCTGTCAGGTTCAGAACCAGGCTTGGGCATGTTTGACGAGAGGTTGGGCCAAATGGCCTACGACACGCAATGTGGCTGTGGAGATTAGGTATAGATGTATCACTCTTCTTCTGTTCTAACTTCAACTTTACTGCAAATTCACTATTAGGCTTTATAGAGTACTTAAATATAGGCGTTAGAAATGACTGGTCAGGATAATTTGCAATCGAGACCAGTTCGATAATTCTGCTTCCTATGAGAGCTCATTCAAACTCCCTCGGGTCCTTCTACCCGCATCTATCGATACCTCTTCTTGAAATTGCAATCTTATGACTGAGGGAAAGAATCTAAGAGATTGGGATTAAGCCTCTCTAGGGACTCAATAACCAAAGTATCTTGTTTCTCGCTCCCCAGGAAGACACCCAAAAGCTACTATACTAATGGACGTTTCAAAAACCCTGGATGTGTTTCCTCCAAGCCTATCGAGGATCGGACTTACACTGAGGATACAATTCAACTTGTCAATCAATCGCCAGATACTCACCAGAGACGAAGACAAGTTTCCAACCTTAAAGGGAAGTGAGTGAGCAGCGGATCGGTGTGGGGCAGGAATCGTCCGCCATGGTGGGGCTACCTTACCTATCGAGCCCCCGCCCTCTGCAGATACAGCAGCTAAAGGTACCTCAACCCCCCCGGCCTCTGTCCCACGACGGCCACCTAGCTCAGTCAGCCTCTCGAGCACCCGATGAGACGTCATTTCTCTCCCTGCGACAACGACCCGATATCTCCAAGGCTTCGGAGACCAAAATCCGCCCGACTTCTTCAGCCCGACAGGCCTTTCGCCCGCCATGGAGTCCATTGCGCGGATATCTAGCCTGCTCGAGAGCGGTACGTTTCTTGCTCCTGTCGTCATGTCCCCTCGCTAACGTTTACCTCGTCCCAGCCCGAGAGCTCACCCTCGATGCCGCCTCAGCCACGCGCAGCTCCCGCAGCACCGGCCGCCCTCTCGACCGTACACAGATTAAGAAGCTACTGGACAGTCGAAATGAGCGCGAGGTGCTCGACGGCCTGCGCCGCGTCCTCTCGGTAGGCATCGCGCTCTTCCTAGCCAGCCTCCCCGTCCCTGCCTTGGCTAATCGACCCGTTCTGCATAGATGATGTACCGCGGCCAAAAGACGTTACCCTTCTTCTCCTCTGTTGTCAAGAATGTCGCCTCGCCGAACATCGAAATCAAGAAGCTTGTCTATATCTACCTCATTCATCATGCCGAACAAGAACCCGATCTGGCTCTGCTCTCCATCAACACCATTCAGAAATCCCTCTCCGATACGAACCCCCAAGTCCGCGCCCTTGCTCTCAAGACAATGTCTGGCATCCGAGTCCCAGTCATCAGTCAGATCGTATCTCTCGCAATCAAGAAGGGTGTGGCAGATATGAGTCCCTACGTACGCCGAGCTGCCGCCCTCTCCATCCCCAAATGCTACCGCCTCGATCCCACACAGTTGCCGCAACTCCTCGAATACCTAACTGCGCTCCTTGGCGACAAGCAGTACTTTGTCGCCGGTGCGGCAGTTTCGGCCTTCCTCGAGATATGTCCCGATCGAATCGATCTCATACATCCCCAGTACCGGGCGTTGGTCAAAAAGGTCGTAGACATGGACGAGTGGAGTCAGCTGGCGACGCTGAGAATGATGACATATTACGCAAGGAAATGCTTTCCCAGGCGGACACGCAGCGTTAAAAGTCAGGAAAAGGCTGCCAACTTGGGCGACTTTTATGGAGAAACATCGCAGACTGGAGGCGAGGAGCAAGAGGTTGCCGTCGTGGACCCAGATCTCGCCTTGCTCCTCAACGGTATCAAACCGTTGCTACAGAGCCGCAATTCAGCTGTGGTCATCGCGGTTACGAGATGTTACGTCGATATTGGCACGCCGGAATACGTCAAGACAGCGATTGGCCCACTCGTTGCGCTCCTCAGGGGGCCACAAGACATCCAGCAAGTCGCCCTCTACAACATTGTCTCGGTGTGCCTGACGAGGCCAACCGACTTTGTCAAATATGCCAGCCACTTCCTTGTCAGAGCTACGGACCCTGCGCAAGTATGGGAGCTGAAACTGGAAATTCTGACACTCATCTTCCCTCACGCACCGCCACACATCAAGAGCCTCATTCTGAACGAACTCGAGCACTTTTCCGGCTCAACGAACAAAGCGCTGGTAAGAGAAGCAGTACGCGCTATTGGACGGTGCGCCCAGACGGACTCATCTGCGGCTCCCAGGTGTCTTCGTTTACTACTCGGACAGATCACGAGTCTTGATGGAACCTTGGCAGCGGAATCTCTGACGGTGATTCGGCACCTGATCCAGCAAGATCCCCAGGGGCATGTAGGCACAGTTGTTCGTTTGGCGAAGAACCTAGACTCGGCAACAGACCCTCAAGCAAGGGCAACCATCATTTGGCTTGTGGGGGAGTTCTCGGGCCTTGAAGGCGAAGACAATATTGCCGCAGATGTGATGCGGATTCTTCTCAAGGATTTCGCGAGTGAAGCAGAGGTAGCCAAGGGACAGATCCTTCTTCTCGCTGCCAAGGTTTACCTACATCACATAAACCGACAAAACGAGAACAAGGGCGAAGACGATGCGCCCGTACCAGTCCAGGACGACCACCCCGTGGCGAAACTCTGGGATTATGCGCTATTACTGGTCCGCTACGACACATCGTACGACCTCCGCGACCGAGCCCGGATGTACCGAGCCCTCCTTTCCGTGCCCCAACTAGCCACGTTAATGTTGTTGGCACCGAAGCCCGCGCCCCAAGCTCCCAGTCCATCAGAGACACGCAAGGGCTTCATGCTCGGCTCGTCAACGCTTGTGTTGGCCGGTGGAGGTGGCATTCACGGGTTACGTGGTTACGATGCTCTTCCCGAATGGGTTGCGGAGGGCTCAGAACCCGACAGGAGATTACGAGAGACAGAAGCAACATCGAGCTACGGTGAGGATAAAAACGTGCCGGCAAGTCAAATGCTCGACAGCGCAGTCAGGGCGGCGCCAACGAGGACCAACGGTCTCGGTGCCGTTGTGGGTGCCGGTGCTGCAAGCGGTGTTGGTGTCAAGACGCTCGATGACTGGCTTGCCGAGGAAGAGAAAGAGGAGCAACAGGCGGCCTTCCACATGGAGGAGGAAGAGGATGATGAGGACGACGAGGAAGAGGAGGAAGAAACAGACGATGAGGATGAAGAAGACGAGGATGATGACGAAGACGAGGAAGACGAAGAGGACGAGAGCAGCGACGACGACAGCGATTGACATGCACGTCGTCGCGTGCGAACCGGTAGCCAGAAGCTGCTCTCGTCGACCTGAAGCATATAATTAAATAACATACATTCTGGCACTTGGGCGCAAAGTTTCTATCGTGACAGTCATCAAACGCGTAGTTTTGCGGCAGGCTGGGCCAAATGCATGAACCGGTTCGCGGAGAAAACAGAAGACTACTAACTTGAAGGTATCGCATCCCAGAGCAACCGGTCTTATGGGGCAGAACTCGGCGACAGATTAGCGGAATGGGCAACGGGTGGTTTTCTTGACTGGCATGACAGCATTCCTCCTAAGCTTCGGAGAGATTGGTTGCCCCGACTGTCTGGGTCCAGTACTACGGGTGCTGGGTCGCAGTTGCACACACGAATACGTTTATAGTAGTCTCGATGGTTACCACGCGAGCGGCAGGCATACCTATCATCCAAGCGAACCGAGAGACCCGAGCCATCGCCTTTCGGATCCTCCTAGGCCTCTAACCCGCCGGTGTTTCTAGCGGGACTCGGGAGAAGCTCGAGTGATCCTTGTCGATATCTCGGTTAGGTGTTCGGGTGGCATTCTGTCAGCATCGCTTACCCCGTGTTATTCGGATAGGAAACACCCCGATGGGTGGATTCGGTGCAGACCCGAGCCAAGGCGCTAGATTGATGCTAAGATTCGGGCGTTGGTCTCCGTACCGTCTTTCGGAGTCTCCCCCGTTTGTTGCCTCAACTGTCTCTCCTCTTGACTCTGTCTGTTGTCTCTTACATATAGTGTTCGGGACAAAGGTTGTTGACTGCACTGGGGATCCGCAACTTGATCTCGAATCACTTTATTAATTCCTACTTGTGAAGTCTTAAGTCCTGATAAGATCCACCATGTCACAGAACGTCCGAGGGCCCAACAGAGAGACAACCAACATCCAATGGTCACCCCTCACACACACACAAAGTCCGTAAGCGGCAGGCGCACTGGTTTCCAATTCGAGCGGGCGAGCGGGTCCTCGGGTAGCAGACGAAGATCTTGGCTCTGTCCTTAGCGTCACCGTTTGCTGCCAACCCTTGTCACTCTTTTCGCAGAAGATGCCATCTCGTTTCTCTCGTTTTGCTCGGTTTTCGTGTTACTAACATATACGCTGACCAGTCATATGGCAGAGAAAACTGAGGAGAGGGTTGTCATGGATTTCTGGACCCTAGATGGTGGTCTGTCTGCCTGTCAGTACGCAGATACTAAAGAGGCAGAGGCTGCTGTCCATGTTGTAACTGAAGCTCATATGTTTCGCATCCATATGTGTAGATGACAAACCTCGGCTGCGTTTCGTACTGTCATTTCTATTCGGCATCTACATCTTGGTTCAGTCCAAGTCTTTTTATTTCTTCCAAGGCATTTTCGACAGAACCATTGCCTCTTCAGGCTCGTGGCAACAATAACAGATACCAAGCGAGAGGAAAGAAACGAGGACTCGGACAATATACCATCCACTCAAACTTGCGATCGATCGCTCTGGTGACTTCGGGCACCTTGGGAAGATTCGTGTACATCCCGAGCCTCAACGAAGCCAGACGACTTTACTCAGCAGCACATCCAAATCGACCATCATGTCGGCCAACGACACCACGACACGGCGGCCTTTCCGCGAGTGTACCGAAGTCTCACAGCTTTGCCCCGTCGAGATGACAGTCTTGTCCTACTACCCCAACTTCGGCGCCAACATCTTCTTCGCCGTCGCTTTCGGTTTGATCGTGCTCGTGTCGGCAACCATTGGAACATGGAAGCGCACATGGACGTTCATGGCTCTTGTGACGGGCGGCTGTGTCCTCGAGACAGTTGGTATGGAGTTCCCTTCCTGCCTTGCCATTCCTCACACACGAACCCATCATCCCAACTTACAACTGGATGAACCATGCCTCCGTGCTCCTAGACCCGCAAGCACCATCAAGAATCCCCCTTTCTAACAACTGACATGACTCCAGGCTACGTCGGCCGCACCCTCCTCCACGAGAACCCCTGGAACAAGGACGCTTTCCAGATGCAAATCTGCACCATCATCCTCGGTCCGACCTTCATCTGCGCAGGAATCTATTTGACCTTAAAACACGTCTCCGCCAACCTCAACCCATCCCTCTCGCGCGTCCGCCCTCGTCTGTACCCGCTCATCTTCCTCCCCGCCGACCTCACCTGCCTCATCATCCAGGCTATCGGTGGCGGCTTGGCTGCTGCGGCGGGCCAGACGAATAAGAAGCTGCTAGACGGGGGCAACCAGGCCATCATTGCGGGTATTGTGCTGCAGGTCGTCGTGTTGATGCTGTTTGGGATCACTGGTGCGGACTACTGGATCCGCGTGAGGAAGTGGGCGCACGGGGCCGATACCAGCGCCGGCGATGTCTCGCTGTACCATGCCAAGAGGTTCAGGTCCTTTATCTACGCTGTCACGGTGGCGTATGCTTGTGTTATGATTCGTTGCATTTACCGGTAAGTTGGGCTGGTATACCACAAAAACAACAGAGGAAAACGGTTGACTGATCTTGTTACAGTGTTGCCGAGATGGCTGGTGGATGGGGCAACCATATTATGCAGGACGAGGTTTCTTTCATGATCCTCGACGGCGGCCTAGTCTTGATCTGCGTCACGATGCTTACAGCCTTCCACCCGGGTTTATTCTTCCCGCAAATGGCGAACGCTCGCAAGGCATCTGTCGGAGAGAAGTCGGAGACGACAACAACATCAACACCAGAAAATACCAAGATCGAGTCTGGGCGCGAGTCCGCATGAAGAGTCGAAAAAAGGACGTTAGACTAAAGAAGGTGGTATTAGACGGATGAAGAAGGGATCATGGAAACACTGTTCTCGACAGATAGTCAGGTCAATTAGGAACCGGCGCGAAGGCGCTAAGCCTCCTCTCAAAGCCTCTTAGACTGTGGGTTTGCACTTTGTCAGAGAATTTGACACAATATTCAGTGAATTTCAACTCTGCCTTTCTGTGAGCTTTGTCGAGTATGTTCATATCGACAAACCAAGTCTACAAGATCTGTCCACCAGTGGATCGACAAAGAATTGATTGTTTATTGTTTAAGAAACAACGTTGGTTCAATATTTAGAAAGTCCCCTCAACAATATTCACGTGTCACACCTAGACAGTGACTTGACTTCTACACATAAGCTAGATGTTTTCCCTTAGATTCTCCACGGAAAACTGTCGATAACCTCATCTAGAATATCCTCCAACAGCCAGACATGTTGTATGAGATAGGAAAGCAGTCTTTGTAAGTAATTCCCATGACAACTTTGCTCACAATGTGTGTCACAGACGTAATCCATTATATGTGCAGCATCTGCAACACCCGTCTAGGAAAACCACGTCGACGAGTCCTCGAGCATTGTTCCGCTGTCATCCTGAACGGCAAGAACCGCCAACACTGCGGCGTCCTCTACGACACGGTTCCTGAACCGTCCGCTGCCGATCCGGCACTCAATCATTCGGGACTCGAGTTTGAAGTCTTGAAAACAGCGTTGGGCTACACTCTCATCGAGCCACAACACCGTCGTCCGAAGCCAAAGGCGATTCGATGCGACTTATGCGTAGACCATCTTGGGGAGAAAGAGGCTGAAGTGAGAGAGAAGTGGTGGAGGGCAGAGACAAAGGCACTGGCAGGTACCAGAAAGAACAAACGGCTAATCCCAGGACCTTCAACTGCGGGGTGGTCTGACATCTATCGATGAATGGTTTCATACTTCTGGTAAGTGTAGGTTTCCCAAAGGCCCTAGAAATCTAACATCCTAGCTCGACGGATGACTGTTTTTCACTCCTTGCCTCCCAAGTACCGATAAACGACGGAAAAGTCCCGCCCTTTGCACCCTTCCTCGGCCTCAGCAGAAGCATACACCTCGGTTGCCTTGCCCGCCAATTCCAACTTGGCACCAGCCTCCCGCGCAGCAACGACGGCCAACCCAAGATCTTTGCGCATCAGCCCGATCCCGAACCCGCCCTTATAATCCCGTCCCGCGGGACTCCCCTCGACGACGCCCTTGACGGGGTTATTCACCTCGCTAGGCCAGCACTTGCCCGTACTAACGTTGACCACGCCCGCGAGAACCTTGGGATCCAACCCCCACTTCATGCCCAGGTTCATCGCCTCAGCCGTGGCGATGTTGTTAATGGCCAGTAGGTAATTATTCGCCAGTTTCGCCGAGAGCCCCGTCCCCTGCGGTCCGCAGTGCAACACGCGCCTGCCCATACGCAGGAGCGTCGGCTCCACGGTGGGAAGATGCGTTGCGTCGCAGCCGAGCATGAAGGTGAGCGTGCCGGCCGTGGCACCGACGACGCCGCCGGACATTGGGGCGTCGACGAAAGTGCCCTGGTTGCTGGTTGAGGCCGAGACCGAGGCGGCGACCTCGCGGGACGAGGAGGGGTCGATGGTGGAGCAGTCTATAAAGGTACGTTTGCGGGAGGGCAGGTCTTTGAGGATGGAGGCGTAGACTGCTTTGACGTGGGATGGTTCGGGGAGAACGGTGATGACGGTGTCCTGGTGAGTCGTATTAGTATTCATGCCCTTGGTACAGAAATTGGAGCTTGAAGAAATATGGCATGAGGCTCTCGAGGTCAGAAGACTTAGGAAGTTGCTTTACTCAGTGGACGGATGTAGGCCGCCTCATAGTTGGCAAAACAGTTTTAAGAATGCATCATACGAACACAGATGGGCCATCTTGAAAGATGGAAAAACGAAACACGGCAACTTACAGCTTCAATTGACGCATCTCGTGCAGTGTCAACAACAGCAACCTTTGCGCCGCCGGCCTGAGACTGGTCCATCTCCTTTGCCAGGTTGGAGACGGCGTCTTTATTGATGTCAAAGATGCGAATCTCATCTTTGGGACTCAACTTGGACTGAAGGTTCTTGGCCATTTGGTAACCCTGAAATGGGACGGTCAGCTTCATGAGGGGTTCAATGCCATTGAGTTTAGGAGGGCCATACCATTTGTCCTAAGCCGATGAAGCCATAACTCTCCAACCGCCG